ATGAGAAATTGTGTAAAAAAAAAAAAAAAAAAAAAAAAAGTAAATCCGGCAGTCAAACCTGCATGGTTTGAAAGCAGCGAAGCTGAAAAGGTGTCGGCTTTGAAACCTTCTTTGGGCGCCTGCCTGCGTATGACCAAAAAAATGGATGCTGTCACCCACCAGCCAAATTTCAACCTGAAAGTAGTAAGTATCATCCTCCCCCTTTAAACTATATAAAATCAACATGAAAAATGGCGTACTATATATAGAAAAATACCTATTTAATTAATGAGAGTAGATAAGATTAAAAAAAAAAAACTCAAATTTATTGAAAGTTAAATATGATACATACCATAAATAGTAACGAAAGAATGAGTGTCCTCAACCATACAAGATATTAGTCTATAATCAATAGTCAAATATTAGTAATGTAATACTAAATATTCTCGACCCTTGTAAGCATGTTGTAAGAATCTAAACGCATTATAATTAGTAGTTTGAGACTTTAATCGGTACAATTCCAAAATTTGATTTTTTTTTTCTAATTTAGGCAAATATCAATTTATACTCTTAAACTCAAATATTTATATGTATTTTATCGGTTTAAATTATAAAGGCCTAAACTTTAGAAAAAAAAATTATACTTTTTGAGGATTGAAATTTGAATTTAGTAGTATTTTGGTCGCTTAATCTTTCAGATTCAATATTTAAACTTCTAAGGCTTAGAAATTTTGTTTTATTTTATATTTACGGTTAACATTGTGTGATTCTATTGTATAAAATTAGAACACCAAAATGTTACAAAACTTAAACATGAGAAATTAAAAGTGCATTTAAAAAAAAAATATATATATACAATTTAACTAGCATAAAACATCAACATGAGCATAATTCTACACTGATGTGCTTATTTACTTGAAGCTCGAGGGTCGAGATTCAAACGAGTATTACAAAAAAAAAAAAAAAAATCATAATAGGAGTATCTCTAATTAAAAAAAAATTAAAACCCAAATCATTGAATTCTAATTATGATTTAGCAATATATATAGAAACGGAATCTTCATCCAGTTGAAAAGGGTAAAAAAGAAAGGGGAAAAGTGATATCATAAGTTATTTAAAGGCTCCAAGCAGAAGAAGATAGGGATATTAAAAGAATGGAAGTTATGATGGAAGAAGTTAAAATGGAGATATCTAATCAAGAACTTAGTGGGTGCCTGGTTGGACTTGGTAAACGGCTTAAATATTTTGACCTTTTTCTCTTTGCCAAAGGCGGAGCCAGAGAGGGGCTGCAGCAATGCATTGGAGAAGGAAGAGAAGGGTGTGTGCGCTTGTGGCTTGTGGCTTGTGGCTTGTGGGTCGCTACTCCACCAACACAGCCAAAGGAATAATTGTATAAAATAACAAAAGTCCTAATAGAAACAAAGATAAACCCAGCAATTATCTCTGTCACTCCATAAAGTATTCTAAATTTGCATGGATTATAATATCATCTAACACCCATTTGATATATCAAAGTCAATTTGTCCTTTCTTACTGTCCGCCAAGAGAGAGAGAGAGAGAGAAGGTAGCGTAGAAGTTTTAAGAATAAGGTGAGAGAGAGAGAGAGGATTATACAGATTGGTATTATTTGGCTTCATTTCACTTGCTTTTCCTCGGAAGGGAGAGTATTTCTGGTGAAGAATCCCTCGTCTTCTTCGAGCTGCTACAGAAATTCAAGATTGGCCCAAGAACTTGTTGAGCTCTTTGAAGCTATTGACGATTTCATGGTGGTTGTCTTGTGAATTTTTGGTCTGATTCCTGTTGGAGTTTGGTTTTTGTGCTTAAATTTAAGGATCTGGATTCTGGGTTTCTAGGTTTTGACTCTACGATTTTTTTCCTTTGTGGGACTCGCCGCGGTGGTTCTGGTCTCTGTCTTGACTTTTCCGTAGAGAATGTCAATTTCTAGTTCATTTTCTAAGATTCGGTGGGAACTATTTGTGTTGGATGGCTTTAGTTGAATTCCTCCGAGTTGAGGTTTTGCATCTGTAGTCCAATTGTTCTTAAATCTCTTCCATTTCTGGTATTTTTGAAGTGGGGTTTTTCTGATCTGTTTCAAGATCCCTTCTGATTGCCTTTTGGGGGTCTAGGGTTCGAAACTGAATAATTTTCTTTTTCCAATTATTTTTCGATTTTGATGGGCTAGAAACCCCCCTTTGTTGTTATTCTCCTCACAAACTTTTGCTGCTTAATCCTCTCTGGGTTGCCTTTTTGAAAACGAGCTTAAATGCATCTTTCACTATGGAAAAATCTGTCTCATTGCGCTGCTGCTCTATTAATGGACAAGAAGGGCCGAAGAAGAGATGGGTCAGCCACTGGTCATGACGCCAAGAAAAGCTCATCAATTCTTCGAAAACTGCAAGAGAACAAGCTCAGGGAGGCTCTCGAAGAAGCATCTGAAAATGGGTCTCTCTTCAAATCGCAAGATATTGATGAATCCGACTCACTTGGCGACCAGGACGACGGCAGTGGCTTGGGCCGGTCGCGGTCGCTCGCTAGACTCCACGCGCAGCGGGAATTCCTGCGTGCCACCGCGCTGGCTGCCGAGCGCACTTACGAGTCCGAAGACGACATTCCTGACCTCCATGAATGTTTCTCCAAGTTCTTTACTATGTACCCGAATTTCCAGTCCTCCGAGAAGATCGATCAGCTGAGGTCCAACGAGTACTCGCACCTTTCTTCAAAGGTATGCCTCGATTACTGTGGCTTTGGACTTTTTTCTTATGTTCAAACACTTCACTATTGGGAGTCCTCCACATTTAGCTTGTCTGAGATAACTGCAAATCTGAGCAACCATGCTCTTTATGGTGGTGCTGAAAAGGGGACTGTTGAACATGATATAAAGCTTAAGATCATGGACTATTTGAACATTCCTGAGCATGAATATGGGCTTGTGTTTACTGTGAGTAGAGGGTCGGCTTTTAAATTGCTTGCTGATTCATATCCTTTTCATACCAACAAAAAATTGTTGACCATGTTTGATTATGAGAGTCAATCTGTGACTTGGATGGCTCAGAGTGCTAGAGAGAAAGGTGCGAAAGTGTATAGCGCCTGGTTCAAATGGCCATCCCTGAAACTCTGCTCCACTGATTTGAGAAAACAAATTTCGAATAAGAGGAGAAAGAAGAAGGACTCCGCTACTGGTCTTTTTGTGTTTCCAGTTCAATCTAGAGTGACGGGAGCGAAGTATTCGTATCAATGGATGGCTCTAGCGCAACAGAACAACTGGCACGTGCTGCTTGATGCTGGATCTTTAGGTCCCAAAGACATGGATTCTCTTGGACTGTCCCTTTTCCGGCCAGATTTCATTGTCACATCGTTCTATAGAGTTTTTGGATTTGATCCAACCGGGTTTGGATGTCTATTGATCAAGAAATCAGTAATGGCAAGTTTACAGAATCATTCGGGGAGTACAGGTTCAGGAATCGTGAAGATAACTCCTGAATATCCTTTGTACCTGAGTGATTCAATTGATGGTCTTGATGGATTTGCTGGGATTGAAGAAGATGGAATCTCTGAGAATGTTGTTAAAGCCTCTGAAACACGTCAAAAATCTCAACTGCCCGCTTTCTCGGGTGCGTTCACATCTTCTCAGGTTAGAGACGTATTTGAAACTGAGATGGATCATGAAAGTTCTGAGAGAGATGCTACGAGCACTATATTTGAGGAAACGGAAAGTTTTTCTGTTGGAGAGGTGATGAAGAGCCCGGTATTCAGTGAAGACGAATCATCTGATAACTCATTATGGATTGATTTAGGCCACAGTCCTCTTGGGTCTGATAATGCTGGCTTCAGCAAACATGAAATTGCCTCCCCGTTGCCCCCGTATTGGTTTGCATATCGAAAAAATAGGCAACAATCACCCAAACCAACTTCAAAAATATACAGCAGCCCACTTTATGATGACAAAGAAGTAAACTCAAGGGCAGGTGATGAAAGAAGTATGCTGTCATTTGATGCAGCTGTCATGTCAGTTTCTCAAGAGCTCGATCGCTACAAGGAGGTTGGTGGAAGTAAAGATTCAGTAAGGAGTCCTGTTGTACAGGGCGGTAAAAAGAGTTCGGAGCATACGGACGTGTTGGAGGTAGACAAAATTGGCAAAGCACTTTCAAATGGTATGTCAAGTTGTGATGTCAAGAGATCTCATCTTAGCAATTCAACTTCTGGATCCCAGCACCATAAGTTAGAGAACGGTTCGACCTCTGAGATCTGCCCCGAGATTAAGGAGAGTGCAATAAGACGTGAAACTGAAGGTGAATTTAGGTTGTTGGGACGCCGAGGGAATAGATTCGCCGGTGGGAGGTTTTTCGGAGTAGAGGAATCTGAAGTGCAGAACAAGGGAAGAAGAGTCTCTTTCGGCATTGAAGACAACGGTAAAGAGCACCAGAGCTGTAATTTTGAGCCAGGTGAAATGTCTATTACCAGCTTTGATGATGATGAAGGTACCAGTGATGGTGAATATGGTGATGGGCAAGATTGGGACAGGAGAGAACCTGAGATAATTTGCCGCCATATTGATCATATCGACTTGTTGGGTCTCAACAAGACTACTCTCAGGTTAAGATATCTGATCAATTGGCTCGTGACGTCACTACTACAACTTAGGTTACCCGATTCGGATGGAAGCAGCAGGGCAAATCTTGTTCAAATTTATGGTCCTAAAATAAAATACGAAAGGGGTGCTGCCGTAGCATTCAATGTGAGAGACCGAGTTAGGGGGCTAATCAACCCAGAAATTGTACAGAAGCTAGCTGAAAGAGAAGGTATATCTCTAGGAATCGGTTTCCTTAGTCACATACGCATCGTCGACAATCCGAGACATCAAAAAAGTGGTTCAAACCTAGAAGACACAACCCTTTGCAGACCAATGGAAAGTGGGAAGCTCAGCGGAAAGAGCGAGTTCATGCGGGGCGAAGTCGTGACAGCTTCTCTGGGATTTTTGAGCAATTTCGAAGATGTCTACAGATTATGGGCTTTCGTAGCAAAGTTTCTTAATCCAACTTTTATCAAAGAGGGTGCTCTTCCTACAGTTGAAGAAGGTTCAGAAGTATAACACCTGAAGCAGCAGCCATGTCATTTGGACAAGGGGGAGAAGCATCCGTAAGAAAGAAAACTCGAAGCAATAAACTAAAGGGCATCCCGAAAACGATGGAGAGTGCAGTATCGTCCCACCCTCCTCGGATGCTTTGATCTTCACTTGCAGCTCTCCAGCACAAGCAGATGAATTTGTTGATTCATACTTATTTTTACTTGAATTGTTCTCTTTTTTGAGTTAATTGGTGCTAGACTGAGCTCTGGGGAAATCGTTCGATCTCGAGCAGCCATGGCGCCGTGATCTCGAGCAGCCAGAGAAAAGCTCAAATTCTTGAATCTGTGTAAAACAAGTGGTAGCGGTAGAGAGTTGTTATGGGTGCTGTTATGGGTGCTGTATTTAGCTGATGCTCAGAAACATTTCCCATTTTCAAGTTATTTTTGCTTTCTGAGTTTGCTGCTATTTTTCCACTCTCAATGGTAGATAATGCCCCTCTGAGCTTCGCAAAGACATGTCACTCACTACTCTATAACACTGCTTCTTCTCTCTGTTCTCTCTCTCTTCTTTCTGCTTCATTAAGTCGCTTTCAGATCAATATGTCAAAACGTTGACTTTGACCAAATATCTTACCTCATTTAAAACAGCTACGTTCTCGTCATCGTCGTCATTTTTTTAAAAAAATAAACTTAATATTTTCGATGGAGATAAAATAATAAAAAAATAAATAAATAAAAACAAATTTATGATAAAAGATTTGAAGATCTAAGGTGGAGGTGGAGTCAATGCACAAAGGAAAAAAATAATTATAAAATTGAATTTGAATAATATAGGATATAATTAAAATTAAAAGGCAATAATGAAATTGAGATATAAAGATAAGAAAGGGACAGAAACCAAATTAAAGGGTTTAATGTTGAAATATGCATCACCAAACCAAAAAAGCTCATTTGGGTTTGATTCCTTCTGGTGAGATCAGATCACCCAAAGTCAATATCCCAATCATATTATTATTTTTATTACCTTTGGCCCCACTTCATATTATTTATATCCACACATTTATTGTCACACACCATAAATATAAACTATTATATACAAAAATTAATTAATATACAGAAATATGAATCAAACATGTAAAAAACTAACCAAAATCATGTTCGTAGTGAAGGAGAATTTGAAGCTATGACATAGCTTTTTGGGAAAATTTCTCTTTTCGTTATATTATACCATTTTTTAAACACTAAAAATTTATTAAAGGTATCAAACTTATAACTTAAGAGCTCACTATTTATCTTCTCATTAAACTTACAAATAATTCAAATGAGTGTAACAATCCAAATCCTCGCGAATATTGTCTTCTTTGTACTTTATCTTTCAAACTTTTGTTAAAGGGTTTTAAAACTGAGGTTTCTAAATAAATTGATATTTTTTTTCCTTTTAGTTAACCTACGTTAAAGCTTAGAACTGGGAAGGATTAACGGGTATATGATAATACAATATTAGGGCTAATAAGTTCAACAACAGATTGTTAGAGCAGAGAACATAAACGATTGGATCTGCAGTTTTATTAATTCTAAGCATGACATTATATAGCATTTACAAAAAGATAAAAACGGAATGGAACATAAAAATATCAGCAGAAAAATCTTAAGAATCTCAAAGAACTGGACTCCGAACAACTAGAACTATATTCGAAACAGAAAACTAGACCGGTGGCAACCATTAGCAAACCTTGGAGCCAAAACAACTCAAAGATTCAGCTCAAAATCTGAGAAACCTTGCTTCAAACTTGTCATGTCATGCCAAGCAGTCAAACATACGAGGTACATTCAACATGGTAAGCTCCTGTCTTATAAATCCCACGTCAATGTTTGGTTCTTCTTGTTGGACGCCATTCCCAATGAGCTTGTTTTGTACAAATGGAGTGGAAGCCGGAAGGAAGCGTTTAGCAGAGAAAAATTTCTTGAAAGAAGGAGCAATAGGCGAGTTATGTCAGATTCTCAGCTGGTTGGAGCTTGCTTTATGCTGACAATGGCTTGTTCCAGAAAGCTACCAGCTCTGCCTGGACACTACAATAATGCCAACTCCAAATAAAACTAAATCGAAAAAACCTTATTGGCTATACCATAATAATGAAGAACAAAAAAAACGACATCCATCCTGCAGCTAGCAGAGCAGAACAGTCCTTGAAAACCGTATGTACGATCCGATGCACAATATCTGAACAGACGCCGACATTTTTCACCAACTTCATCTTCCCCGCTTCAGCTTTCTTTCATTCACTAACTGCAGCTTGACCACAAACAATGGCTTCTTCTCCTCAGTTTTTCAAAATCCTTCTGCACAGAAACCTCGAAGATCAAAAACTGGTGAAAACAGAGTCTCCTTCACTTTCTTTTCTTATCTGTATCTCTTAAACGGTTTGCTTCTTTTCCAGATGATTCCGAAGAAGTTCGTGAAGAAATACGGTAAGCTCTTGTCAAGTGCCGTAATTCTAAAGCTTCCCGATGGAATGAAATGGAAAGTGGGTCTGACAATGGCTGCTAATGGCGCCGTTTGGCTGCAAAAGGGATGGCATAAATTTGCCAACCACTACTCTTTGGAGTTTGGGTCTCTGCTGGTTTTTAGATTGGAGGGCAGAAGTTCGAGCTTTGAAGTAACCATATTCGACCCATCTGGATTGGAATCCGAATATTCTTCTTTCCATGCTTGTGATTCTATAACAGAATCTGAAGAGGACGATGACTCTGTTTCTGATTCAGATGAAGAAGGTATGAACTTTTGGAAGTTATTTTGAAGCGTTCTTGTAGAATTTGATAGTTTATCTTTTAACCATCTTCTGTAAAAGACTATGAAATTGGGGTTTCAAGGAGAAGACGAAAATCAGCAACAGAGAAACCTGGCTTCCAAGTTGTGTTGAACCAATCAAACGTATGCGGTAGATACAACATGGTAAGCTCTTGTTTGATTATTCTGAACCCTTTCTCGTTTGATCTTGTTTGATAATTTGTTCTTCGTTCTTGGAGGTTTTTCCTGCGAAATTTGCAAGGAGTTATTTATGTGAGAAATCTGGAAATTTTAACGTTCAAACTGCAAATGGTAGAAAATGGCCACTTTTGTATAAATGGAGTGGAAGTGTAGATAAATTTGCATACGTTTCCAGTGGATGGAAGCGTTTTGTACAGGAAAATCTGTTGAAAGAAGGCGATGTTGTGTTCTTCGAAATGATTAAGAAAGGAAGATTTTTGTTCACCAAATTACAAGATAAGAACACTGCATCAACCAGAAATCCCTTCTTCAAAGTGGATATTCATTACAAAAGCTACAAGAACAGAATCTTGGTAACAAAAACAGAAGAAAACAATCAAAACCCATTTCTTTAGTTCATAAAATGTATACATTTTCATGGGATTTGAGGCATTTTATGTTGTTGATCATTGACAGAACATTCCCCTGGCGTTTGGTAAGGAGCATTTTTCACCAGAAATGAAATCTGTAAAGCTTCAAACTGGGAATAAGGAATGGATGGTAACATTAAAGCAATATGAAGGATGTATGAGATTCTCAGGTGGTTGGAGGAAATTTTACGGTGAAAATGGGTTGAAAGATGGAGACACCTGCTTGTTTGAAATGGTGAGCAAACAAAACTGCGTTTTTAAAGTGACCATTTTCAAGCAACCTTAATGAACTGAAAAAAAAAACACCCTTTTATTTTGGTCTCTGTGTTTGTTATCTGTTGGATGTTCTTCAATTCTCTTAAAAACTGCCATTGACAATCAGAAGGCAAGCTGTGTTTGTCCTTTTGTGTTCTTTAGTGGAAATATGCCTCTCTGGGGACGAATCTGACATGCTGATGTTTAAAGGCCTTGTGCTTTTCTTATGATCTCTCATGTTTCTTTTTAAACAATTTTTTTTCTGTCTTGTTGGTATGTTCTTATGGAGATTCCATGGTTTTAATTGCGTATAATTTATGCATTTTTATGAAGTTTATGGGAAATTATCGCCTCGATCATAGTCTTGTTATTTTGGATTCCAGTCTATCGCTAGCCTTGATTTTTTTTCTTGTATTCTTCGTCTCAATCAAAGTATGGTTTCTTATTCAAACATAATATACATAAAAATGTGAACATTAATTTTTTAGTAATTAATTTTATTTAAATATTTGATAAATTTTATCGTTTATTAACATAAAAGTTCATAAATTTAGGGAAATAGGAATGTATATAGCAAATTTCAATCTAATTTTTTTTATTTAAACTTAGCTTAATTTTACATTGGCTAATTACGAGGAGTAAGATCGCTGTACATCCCATGAACTTAAAAAAAAAAAAATTAAATTAACATTTTTTGTTTTATAAATTATAATTTTTTATGCCAAACGAGCATTTTAGAAATAAAAGAATAAAAAAAATCCCAAAACCCTAGAAAGATGAGCCCTCACCCCATACTTGCATGCATGTGGTGTGGTGAAATTTGGAGAGGTGAATCTTCTTAAATTCTTCCTTTTTTTTTTTGTTGCTATTCACGCCTTCCTTTCTTCTTCTATTATGATAACCAAAATCTTTCCCCTGTTTTGCGGATTGTTATCTGATTCTTCGTCGATACTTCTTTTGGCGCGAATGATTGAAGCACGGCAGTACCAGTGCCGCTTCTAGCCTTGAGTTCTTCAAGGTTTTTATTCCCGATTTCGGCTCTCTGCATATGGTAATGCTTTCTCCTCTCTGTTTAATCATCCACATTATATATACCCTAACATTAAAATTTATGGGGCTTCTTTTTCCCCCTTGTTTTCGTTTGTTGCTACTGTTCTTACGATTTTGATTTTGGAATTTCGGAAACGCGAAGGGTTCGAGTCTATTTGAGTATGGTGGAACTTAAGCGACTTCCGCGCCGTTTTCCCCCTTCCTTTTTAGGTTGATTACTGGAGTTTCACAAATGGCTCTGTTACTTGTTCTTTACTGAGCAGAAGAATATTTGGGATTAATTTTGACCAACGGTTGACTCTGCATTGCACATGCACAGAAAATGGGTCTCAAAAGTTACTTGATATTTTGACCATTGGTTAGAGATGCATTTGCTCCTCTTAAGGGTTTCTGGGTTAGCATGTTGATACTTTTCCCATGTACTTGCGTGTGAGATGATTTGTCTTGTTATCTGTTTGCATTATTTCATTTCCCATCTCTTGTTTCCAGAGCAGACCGCCAGCTTCTGTGAAGCATTTAAATGGATCTTTTCCAGAAAAAGCTATCATAAAAGATCCTATGGGAAAATCATGGCGTATTACGTTGGAAAAACTAGATGACCTTGTGTATTTCAAGAATGGCTGGCCGGCATTCGTAGATTACTATTTTCTGAAATATGAAGACTTCTTAGCTTTCCAGTATGACGGCCACTGTACGTTTGATGTTGAGATATTTGGTACAAATGGATGTAAGAAGGCAGTGGCAGCTAAAGCTGCTAGTTGTATCCCAATTTTGGAGGCTGTGGCTGCAGATGCTGCTAATTCTGTTCCAATTTTGAAGGTCAAAGAAGATGCCAAGCATTCAATATCCAGCAAGAGGACGCGATTACAAGTTGGGTCAGGTGAGTACTTGTTTTCAAAACATAAAAAGGTTTGAAGATGGCACTTTTATTTTTCAATTCCTCATTTCATATATGATGTAACGATTCAGATTTTTCTTGATTTTTAAGATTCACATTAAACTTAGATTTTACTTTTTTTTTTTTACTTTTAATTTTATTTAATTTTATTCGTTTTCACTCTTGGCTTGTTTGTCGTCCGATTTTCGATGCCTCAAAAATTGGGTGGTGAGAAAAGGAGAATTTGAAGCTTATAACTCACATGTGTTATATCAATATAGAAATGAAGAGCAAATGGCATGGCAAGGATTTAACTCGCTACTAAAATTAAAAGCTTGAAATTGATAATAGATTATATTCCCAAAATATACTCAACAAATTTCTGTTGGACCTTCCCATGTTTCCATTTGTGCTACTATTGAGATTACAGGTAACCAATGGCTTGTCTGAAGCTTTTGAGGGATGTTGGAGAGAATACCATTTCTGATGATTTGGTTTTGAATTGAATTGCAGTATATTTCTGGACGTATGGTGAGGGATCAGAACATCTCGTTGAAACAAAACATAGTTCTTAGAGATGAAGAGGGCCAGCTGTGGGCAGCAACCATCTGTTTCACCGCCCAGAATCGTATTTCTATTACTGCTGGGTGGTCTAAATTTTACGAGGGCCATAAATTGAAAAGAAATGACAAATGTGATTTTGAGTTTGTTCTTGAAAAGGGAAATGTATGCGGACAGTTTGATGTAAGTAACACGCCACTGTCTTCCTGTGCGTTGAAGACTGCATAGCAGAACCAAGTTTTCATTGTACAGTGGTTTATGAAAAAAAAAAGCAGGGAAGATCAGATAAGTCCCTCTCTTTCTTTGGTAACGTTTTTTCTTGTTAATCTAACGTTGTGAATGTAGTTGTAATTTAATATGTATATGATGCTCCACATGTTTGCGCCTTACGAACTAAATTATACATAAAGACTGCATTATTGAATTGATATAGCATTCCAAAACTCAAAATCATAACAATCAAGGTCTTTGAAACTGCATAAAATGCAAAAAACTAGATTCATTCAGTTTGAGTATAGCCAGTTTCAAGAACCAAAATACATTCAATTCGAGCATGAGGTAGAGCATAGTCGTTAAATTATTTCTTGGGATCTTACTGAAATATATTTTTGTGGATAATCTTTTAACTTTTACCTTGTTCATAGGAAGTTGATAGTCAAGGAAATGATCAATATTTCCAAGATGTGATGACCTTCAGGAGAATAATCAAAGGGAAGGAGAAATGCTTTATTTGGAGTATCGACCCCTTCAAACAGATAAAGAAGACAATAGGAAATCAGCTAATATGGATGCTACTGAGGTGATAATATTTAACTTCCATTTACCATTATTTACGACTTTTGATGTTCCAATAAGAAAAGCTACAAGAAGTTAGAACTCATATGGAAGTACTGAAGACTTACTCCAAAATAGGCCTCATAATATTGAAAATTGAACACTAATTTCTGCCTCTACTACCAAAATGGTATTCTGCTAACTTACAGCTGCAATTACTCGTGGAAGCAATAGGCTTATCTAGTTCATTTACAAAGCTATCGTATGTACAACTGCATGAATTTAGTATTGGTATAGCATTTCTACCCACTCTACACACCACCCTTGATCTAAATCATTAGTGAGAAAACGAGCTTTCCTCAGTGCTGTAGACCGAGTGCTCACTCAAGCTAAAGTTGGTTCTTTCTTCATCCCACTTCATTATCTCCCTCGCATACTTAAGAGCTGCATCAACACTATAAGGCTCTAAACCCTTCACAGGTGAAACATACAGCTTCCGCCCAGTTAGTGTGGTGAAGAGCCTTTTGAATTTTACTGCAACATAGTGTAAACCGAGTTGTCCTAGAGAGGGGCTGCTATTTATATTGTTCTGGCTGTTAGAGCGGTTGCGGCTGATTATTGGATGGAAATCATCGAACCACTCGCACTGAGTTAATGGTACCCGTTCTATCTTCTCTTCAAACAGATCATATTTGTTCAGTAATACAAGGAAGTTCATTTGATCGAAGGTCGGATGAGTAACCAAACTTTCAAAGAATTTCCTGCTAAGTAGCATCTTATTCACGGAATCCCCATTTCCATCAATGGAAAACTGATCGTAGTCGCTCAGAGAGACACAAAAGATAACAATCCCAATGTCTTCAAACATCTCCAGCCACTTGCAATTTTCACCAATTCCTCTTGCATGAGCTCTAATAAGTTGATACCTGACAAACCAATCAAAATGAGTATGATCATCGATGATTGAATTAGTACCTTTAACTCAATACGAAGTGAAGGAACAGAGAATGCCAAAGCGTTAAGGCACTCATACTTGGAAAGATAAATAAATAGATAAACCTCTACCAAGTATTATCACTCACGTAAACAAAGAGTTGTGCTGATCGGCAGTGTCTATATCATCATTAGGTGCAGATTGTGGAAATGAGAAATCTACGCAAGCAAGCCCATTGGATGAAATAAGACCCTCAGCATATAGGATATCTGAATCGGAAGGTTCATAATCGGTTGTCAATATGTCTACAACCTGGAGAAACACAGAATATTAAAATCCATAATGGGAACAAGATATTAGACCTTCCAACTATTATTGACTTGCCAACTTCTGAGTTTATAGGTAAGAAGAGAAAACTACAAAACCCACAAGAGAGCTAACTTCAACAAGTAAACCAGTATACAATATCAATGGAACATAAGAGATTTTCTAGATTAAACAAGTTGAGGCAAATACTATAAGAACTTACTCTTTTTAGGAAGTAATGAGCAACGTTCGGCAGCATTTCCAACTCACTTCCTCGTTTGTAGGTAGCCTGAATAGCAGCATCATTCCACAACTCTTCAACCAACGGAGCATATTCTCGAGTAGCTGCAGGAAAGATAGTCTCCAAAGTTCCTGAAACCATAGTCTTGAGAAGCCAATCGGAGAAAGCTTTCAATCTTGGCCCAATTGAGTATATGCTTTTGTCAGAATCAATACTTGAGCATCCTACTTTTAGCCCAAAAAATCATTTCAACAAATTAATACCAATCTAGCATTTTATATAATAATAACAATAATGCTAACTACAAACACCAGAAAAGTGAAACAGTCTTGTACATTACACAGCTACAACACATACAGGAGCTAAGTGGTCACCCATGCCCGCCCCTAAGGATTAGACCCAGAAGAGATAGCAGTTTTACTTATTAATCTGACTGTTCAAATACAGGACCTCTCAATAGGAATTACTTATAAACCCCGGGCCTTTGACAAGGGGCCACCCTCGAAGTGAGCTGCTGTTATATTAAAAAATAAATAAAACACTCAACCATTAGAACACTAATAATGCATTCGACAGATACTTGAATGCTGAATCTAAGCCTAAGTCATATTATCCAAAACTTCTGTTCCAGGTAACTAGCAAGCACCTGACAGCAACCTTGTCTAATGCCTTAAATAGATAATGAGACAAGAATCAATAACAACTCCTACCAGCAGGGTCAACTTCATCAGACAGCTTTCTCCTCCTTACTTCAGCCGAACTTTCCTCCTCAAATCGTTCACGGCCTTCAAGAATTATACCAAGATATCCGTACACATTGCTCTGGATCTTCAACTTAATAAGTTCACGTTCATATTTAGAGAAAGGTGCATCCTTGTATAGAATTTTGGCCTGCCAAGCAATTAGAAAATGTAATTACCGACTTAACTTGACTATGAAAGATTTGCAATGTGGCAAAATTGAGATGACTAAAGAAATTTACAGAGTTACACACAATTATATGATGAACCAAATACTCAATTGACCAATTAGAAACTACCTGCTTGAATATAGTACTTGTCCCAGATCCATCATAACCAACTAAAAGGAGCTTTTGAAGAGCAAGGTAGTCAGGAAAAGTTCTGTAAACAAGGTTGCTGTCTGGTTCCCCAGAATAAGCTGAAGATTTAGAAGGAACTGGTAGCGATAACAAAGCACAGACAAGCTTCGTTCCAGCCTAAAATGCAATCAAGAAGTCAAAAACAAGTATATGACCAATTAAAGCTACGAATGTAAGTTAAAAGCTAAATTTACTGTCTATTTCCACAAGACGGTACCTTCCCCCATATGTACCCTTTGGTGTTTTTCTGTCCCTCCTCTTGGTACGATCCATCCTCATTGACCCAAAAGTGTGGGTTACCAGCACATTGAACTCCAGCCAACTACAATGATCGAATGTTCCCTTTTAATTTTAGAAGTTACTTACGCTAGAAACAAAGGTTACACTTACAAAATTTACCTGCAGCATACGGAGCTCTGCTTTTGTAATTTCTCTTCCATTTATAAAAATCTTTGTATTTCCATTGCTAGCATCTGCCTTAATCGGCCCACCGATGTTAAGATGAGGAGTAGTTATCTTCGAAGGTTTTTGTCCTTCCTGTTAATTAGATTGCAAAGTTTTATTGCATAATGAAGAAATAGATTTCAAAAGGAAAATAAAAGAAATGGAGAACAAATCAAGGTAACTAGATTCACCTTTCCCCAAAGACCAGAAACCTTATCGTACCAATAATTTCCTGGTTTTAGCTTCTTTGGTGGGTTGGGGCAGGTCTGTAGCATTGTAAGCTCCTCGAAAGATAAAGGTTCCCCATTCACAAAAACGTACTCTGGTGGTAGCTGATTCGCCTCACAACACTTCTCAGCCTTCATAACCTGTCGGATCTCCAACTCATTCAGAAGTCTCTTAAGCATTCTGGAACATTTTCCCAAATTTCCTCGCTTTGACTCATCAATAGGATATCCTATGCAAGTAACACATTTGCGACCTTCAGGCATTGAACCCATAGCTCTAAGCACGCAGCTGCTACAATATTTGGCATCACAGACGATGCAAACCTCCTTTTCAGTAAACCGGTTCCCCTTGCAGCATCGATAACATGATCCTTTTTTTCCTTTCCTAAGTGGTTCTCTTTTCACTCGCAAAGTTTCTAGTCCATCCTGACTGTACTCTTCATTATATGTATCCTCAGACTCAGGGTCAAGAAATGTTGAAGCTGACCGCCTACTGTTACAACCTCCCTCGTTTACAACTTTCATAGATGAAACCCGAGAAGATGGATAATCTGTACTCAATCCTGATTCTGTAGAGACCCAGTCAACTTGATTGATATCATTGAAATCCATGCTTTCCTTCCTACAATTGGAAGCTCTCAAAGAACATGAGCTTCGCTGCGATTTATTAAAGCTACCAGAAAACTCTATCGTGCAAGAGCTCCCAGCCTCACCTAATAACTCACAAGAATTTCCATGACTAATCGATGAGCAGCCAAAAGCCCTCGAGCAGTTGCCAACATTCGAAAATTCGCCAGAAACAATTTTCCCATTTGAAAACTCCAAAGCTCCTGAACTACTCAAGTCACCAGACAATTGACATCCATGATTACTCGCTGCTCTGTCCTCAAAGGCAATAACAGAAGTTGGTGAAACAGTTCTTTCAGAGCCAGAATCTGATTCTTTCGACAGACACCTGCGACTATCCTCAGTACTCTGATCAAACGCAATAACAGATGTAGGTGAAACCACAGACTTCCCACCAGCAGGTTCCAACTCTTTAGAGAACTTTTTCGTCAGAACATCCTGCGCCAAAATCGGTTGTACAACTGGCAAAGACATCTTATGAGTAAAAGACACCTCATCTACCACTGCAGCCACCGGAATCCGGTCCACGTTGATCGGAAGAGCTTGAGGAAGATCATACGGCACCGGTGGGCCTTTGTACTCCTTAGCAAACGAATACGGTAAGCCATCAACAGGATCCGAAGCCATTGCCTCGACCAGAGGCATTTCAATCCCGAAAATCTAAGGCCCTAACCCTAATTTCAAGTCTAACCCTATCACCAACAAAACCAAATAAAGCTGTGAAGTATAGAGCATTTAACGAAACAACAGATTCCTCTCCCACCAAGCAATTCAAAGAGAAACTGTGTACCCTTCAAAAATCAATCAAGGTATATCCGAACCGAACCTTCAGCAATCAGTAATCAACCAAAAGGGATAAACAGCAAAGAAAAATGAGCCACAAGCTAGAGAAATGATGCAGAGAGGGTATGGCACAAAAAATGTAGTTCAGAAGCGAAGAGTAAGAAGACAAAAATGAATTAAGAAGAAGTCGCAATAGAAGGATTGAAGATACAAAGAAATCAGAGGAGACAGAGAGAGAAGATGAACCAGGAAAATCCAAATTCGGTGGGGATGAGAGAGCGCACTGTTTGGTTGAGAGGAAAAAGAAAAAGCTATTGGAAATGTGTGAGAGAGAGAGGGGGGAAAGAATAACCAGCAGCCGGGTGTTGGAGGCGGAATCTTTTGTGTAGTAATAATAAATAAATAAAAATTCTATATTTATATTGTAAAAGAAAAAACTATTGATTTAATTTTATATTGGTTCTCTCCTATTTTTATCCTTTCAACTTTTATCCATTTTGCTCAAAATATTTATTTTTGTCGTTTTTTTTTTATCTTTGTCCCTGTATTTGTCATTTTAGACTATATATGTATATATATTTCAATTTTTTTTTTATTTCTATCCATTAAATTCTCAAAATTAATGTGTATCTCTTTGAAATCTAAATTTTTTGTAAGTTATAATTTCGTTGTAAAATTAAATTAATGGGAATTTTTCTTTCTGCTTGGGTGATATTTTTTTAAAGAAAATATTAATTTTATCTTAGTGAATTTGAACGGATTTTATATAAAAATTTACAAATAAATAGATTAAATTTAATTAATACAATATTGACATTTTAAGTATAAATTGATGTTTTTTTTAAAAAAAAAAAATCTCTTTTAGGTTTATAAAAAAACATAAAATTGAGCAATAAATAAATAGATGTCTTAATTGTTGACTTGGCTTGAATTTTTAAGTTTATTTTCTTATTGATAATTTCAACTCAACATCCCATTAATTAATTTTCTTAAAAAATATGTCAACTTGAAAAATAATTAAGAAAATAAATCCTCCACTAAAATAATAAAATACAAAAAAAGTCTTTACAAATTTTATAGTCAATTTTGTTTGGATAATATAAAAACCAAAATTAACCAAAAGAAAAAAAAAAAAAAAAAGGTCCAAAGAAACCTTTTAAAATTACCAAACTCAAAATAAATAGAATAAATTAGAAAGTTAAATATATAATTTAAAATGTTAAAAATTTAGGGTTTTTGGGTTGGGGGAGGAAAAGGGAAAAATGGAGGGCGAGTGGGCCCAGTTGGCCCAACAGTGCTTTTGTCTTTCTACGTTGTGTTGTTGATATCAAATACGAAGAGTCACCAATTCTGTCCTTTTCTTTGGTCCTCACTGCCTTACTTTCTTTTTTCTTTTAAATAAAAAATTATTATTTTCATCACTTGGATTCTCTCTCCACGGCTATGTTCCTATCTTTTTAATTTTATAAAACAAATTTGAAACGGAAATGTGATAATATTTTACAAATTTTAAAAAAATGAAATGAAAATTTTGTTAAATACAATTAAAATTCACTAATTCAATCATATATTATTTATTAAAAAAATTAAGATACTTCAATCTTCTTATTTGTCAACTCAAAATTCTTCAACAAAATTGTGGCATAAAAAGCATTGATGAGGGAAAAATAAATTTCAAACAAAATTAGTTGAATAAAACGTCATTCATATCTCAATTTCAAAAGTAATGTAGACAATTTTTTAAGGTTGCTAGCTAAATTGTAGTCTAGCGAAAATAGACGTAAAATAATATTTTATTATGATCACAATCATTTACATTTATGTGTACGATAAATTAAAGAAAGATTCAATCAACTTAAATTTTTTTTTAGATGGTTTCAAGCGAACATATGTAAATTCATAATATGAAGGACGGGCTTTAGGAAAAAAAATTCATAAATGAAATGATAAAAACTTAAGGGTATTCGATTGAAAGGAGGAAGACGACAACATATATTGTTCACGAATGTCATGTATTTTTTTTTCATGGGTAAATTTAAATTTGGAATGATTTTTTTAATAGTAATTAAAAAATTCATTAAAAAAAATTAGTAAATAAAAAAGCACAATTTTTAAAAAAATATTCCATTGAAATTAATCACCAAATCTTTTGATTATGTAGTTGGAAAAGAAAACATATATTATTATTAATATAATCATTTTTAATAAGTAAAAAAAAAAAAGGTTATTTAGAGTAACGGACGATATTATAAACGGATCCCTAATTATTGTTATTTGGACGAAGGGCATTTTGCCAAAAGGTCGCATCTTTGATCTTGTTGGGGATTTCTCAAATCTCGTTTTCCTGCATCAGTCCACTCTGGTTCAGCTGCAATCCACTGGTATCTCTCTATTAGGGATTCCTTCGTTGCTTTCAGTCGCTCGTGACCTCTCTCGATTTCACCTCTCTCAGCTTCGTTCTCAAGGTTTTTCCCTTTTTCTTTCTAGTTATGATTTTGTTGTTTGTGGCTGCTCTTCGCGTTCTTTTGGCTAGAGATAGATTTTTTATTTTGGGCCTTGTGATTATCCGACTGCTGGCTGCTCTATATTCTTAGGTTTCTGTTTTCCACTACGTAATGCAATTCGGCAGTCTAATTCTTGGTTCATATGTTCAATCAAAATGTTGAAGTTTCGAATTCGTAATCCGAACAGAAAACTTCTTGTGAAGGGGAAACACCAAAAGGGCAGGAAGTTTCTTGTGAAGGGTTCAATAAGTTGTTGAGTGTGTATGTTCTTTTCCCCAGTTAGGCTTCTAGCACACTATACGATCAATCGACATAGAAATAAAAAAATCGGGGCAATGTAAATCTTCTTCGTCTTATTCCAATTTTGTGGTATGTGCCGGAAGGGAAACCTAAATCCGCTTTCATTTGGTGGAAGTAGAAAAAACCAAATGGTGTAAAAGGGTTAAGTATTTGGACGATTTGAAATAGGTTACATTTTTAGTAATTAGGTTGCACGTTGCTCGATGAAAAATCTGCTACAGAAGGCGATGAACTCACGAACACACACATGCACACTTATTCTCTCTCTGTATTCTTTTATGAAACTTCATTTTAAGATTGTGTGGGGTGATTAATGGGTGAAGATTTATGTAAACATTACTTGTTATATTTTGTGATTTTACTTAATGGGGAAGAATCAAATGCCCCATCATGGTTAATTTAGGCTGATCTTTTTGTTTTTGCTTGTATTATCTGATAAATCCAGTGTCAGTGATTCAGAACTCCATTTATCCCAGATCTAGGCATCGGTAACAACCCCATTCTAGTAGACAAGTTGATATGAAATCCAGAGCTGTGGGTTGTTTCAAGCTCTGCTATTTACTTTCTTCTAGGCAAGCATTTGCTTCCATTTTGGTAAACCAAAAATTAAAGGTTGCCTCTTGTTCAACTGTAAGTGCCAAGCAAGTTGAAGAGAAGGTGGGAGAAAGGCCGTTGGCACATGCCAATGACTCTACCGAAGTTTTCCGGAGATGGGGTTGTGCTGATGATGATATTGCACAAATCTTTGCACGTCGACCTTCTCTGCGCAGGAGTGACTTAAACCTACTACAAGATAAACTCCAACTGCTACAAGGTGTAGGCATCACATCTCCCGACCTTGTGAAGATCATTAATTGCCATCCTCGGTTCCTCAAAGGTCGGATCAACAACAACTTCCATGAGCGGATCGAGTTCTTCTTGAAAATGTTTGAATCTAAGGAAGCTCTTATCAAAGCCATTGTAAAAAACCCTTTACTTTTGACTTATGATTTCCATAATAAAATCAAGCCTGCAATTTCCCAGTATGAAGAATTGGGTCTCAGTAGAAAGGATTTGATTCTCATGCTTTTATCTCGCCCCACACTGATCCCAAGATCTTCATTTAATGATGAGAAGATGGGATACATACAAAAAACAGGGCTCACACATGGTGACAAGATGTACAAATACATTGTTACAATCATTGGTATCTCACGACTTGAAACCATCCGTCAAAAAGTAGCCCATTTGGAGAAGTTTGGTTTCACAGAAGATGAGACATTCACTCTTCTTGGACGATCTCCCCTTATCTTAACTCTATCAGTCGATAAAGTGCAAAGGAACATGACTTTCATTTTGTGCACGTTGAAGCTGCCTGCTAAGAGTATTCTTAACTACCCATTTCTATTATACTTAAACCTTGAAGCAGTCTTGAAGCCACGGGTACTTCTCTCAGGGAAGATGGAGGAAATGGGTCTCGATATTCAGATCAAAGGCGGTTTGATGCTCAGGGCTCTTAGGATGACAGAGAAGAGGTTCTTGGAGAGTTTTGTTAACAGTCAACCAAAAGATGTTGCTGATGAGTTGATGCAGTTCTATCAAAGTGCAAAAGGCATTAAGCGTTTGGCAGAAACCTCAAGGAAGAGCCATCGCAGGGGCTTTCCTTTCTGAACCTTAGATATCTGGTGTGGAGGTTAGACCAATTCTATGTCGCAATATGTTCTGAATTGTAATTGGTTCAATCGTTCACAAACTGATGATTTTTGTCATGTACGGCTCTTGGGTTCTTGCGTTGTTTTATCATTTGTCAGTATGAATAAACTTCAAAACCCATTTGCGCAATGCCTGTAGATTTACCTGTTCTTATGTAATAGGTCATCCAGCGTCCTGCTCACTGTTCTAATGTGTTGTTTGGAGGATGAGCCAAGAACATGTAACGCGTTGTCTTCTTCTTGGCACTAATGAACACTATTCTCGTAAGCTCAGGAAGGGTACAGAGATTAATCTGTGGGATTTTGAATGTTGTAGAAGAGTAGGAAGCTTGTTTAGGATTTTATTTGTATCTTTTTTAAAATTTTGTACAGCAATGGAACAATGAACAACTGTTTGGTTCCAACTTCGAACATCAGCACTTCAGTAAAAGTGAAAATGTCACTGAAAATAGCAGCTCAAAGTGTAAAGATGTAACCGTATCTTTTTAGTGGATGGTTCAATTGTTACAACTTCTAGCCGATGGTTTGAAATTGATGATTAAAAAACTTCTTTCACTAAATAGCGCTAGTTTCTCCCTTTTTCAGAATGGCTCCAAAATACCTCATCTCTATCAGCTCGGCTTGTAAGGCGTGTCTCCCGCTTCCCTGCCAGATTAAAGCAAAGCTTAAAGTCCAGGAATGGAAGAAGCGAGAACCTGAATCGAATGAAGTGTTGCGATGAATTTTTGTTAAATTATTCAATAATTAATTTATATATTAATCAAATTTAAATTTGTAAAAAATTTTATATTATTGAAATTAGTTACTTTAGGCATTTTTAATGAAAATTGCAAATATGTAA